GCTACAATTTTCTCTGTCTACCTACCATCTAATTGCCCAGAGTTCTACCCAATCAAATTACCAGCCCAGTTGGAAATTTGTCAAGAGACATTATTAACACCACTCAGAGAACCGAACAAAATCAGAAAACAACCTACTCTTACTCAAAAGAATTCCTAAAAACCAAAGATCTGCTACACAGTATTTTCATTTATTTAATTTAACCAATGTCTGTTGAGGCACAACAATGTGGTAATGGTTATTTGTGGTTGACAACAAGATGGAAGAAAGGATGCCAATGGGGGCAGTCAGGCTACCTGGACACAATCACGGCTTCACTGGGAAACTGCTGAGTAACTTCAAGCAAGTTACTTATTCTCTCCATACTTTTGTTTTCTCATCTATAAAATGAGGGTGTTGACTAGAAAATCTCTAAGATGAACCTACTAAAATCCCTAACTCTAACTCTACGACGAGAGCCTGGTTCTTCCATGTCTTGAGAGATCTAGAAATAACTACGAAATCAAAAATACACTTCAGAAAACCAACTTCCCCATTTCTTTGCAATGCATACTCCACCTGCATATTGTAAATGATACTAAATAAGTGCATTTCAAACTTAGCTGGGCATCAGATTCTCCTGAGAACATTTTAAAACTCAGATTCCTAGGACCCAGCTCAGACCTATTAAATGAAAATATCTTTGGTGGGGAGGCGGGTCCTTTGAGGATCAGCATTTTCATAAAGCACCCCTAAGTGATCTGATATACAGCCAGGTTCAAACAGCATCACTGCATTGGGCAATTCAATGACCCAGGATCTTCTGGATCTAAGAATATAAAGAAGGTTAACAGGTCTGGGCGACTTAATGAATAATTAAGGTTTTCTTTTAAATAGATTTTTAATGTGACCAATACATTTTTCATACACACCTCCAATCCAAAATGTGAATATGAAGGATGAAAAACTAAATTAGAAAGTCTGTTCAAGTCAATAAATAAATCATGCCTTCAGAAAGTACAACTTCTCACAGTTAATGACATAGAAACATGAAAAGAAAATGAAGAATATTCTGAAAACCGTGGGCTTAAGAAACCCACCCATCATTACTCACATGTCAGAAGGTTACCATGCTAAATGGCATTTAAAAGTCACAACAACATTATGGACATAATCATCCTACTTATTACTCGGAAGTTTACCGAAAAGCTCCATTTTTCTAGATTTGGCTTTTTAAATGTCAGCATCTGAATCAACACAACACAGTCCAAGTAAAAATTTCACACTGAAAACATCTGACAAGAGAAAGAAACAACAAACAACAGAAAAAAAACACAAATGAAAGCACTCTTTGAACAATTTTTTTTTTTTTTTAAAGATCTTATTTATTTATTTTTCCCCCAAAGCCCCAGTAGATAGTTGTCTGTCATAGCTGCACATCCTTCTAGTTGCTGCATGTGGGACACGGCCTCAGCATGGCCGGAGGAGTGGTGAGTCGGTGCGCACCCGGGATCCGAACCCGGGCCGCCGGCAGCGGAGCGCACACACTTAACCGCTAAGCCACAGGGCCGGCCCTGAACAATTTTTTTAAATGTAAATTTTTGTTGTAGTCCTCTAAGAAAAGGTTTGGTTTTATAGCCACAACCTTGAATAAATCAATACATAAGAGGACTTTCACAGAAAATGTTTTGAATTGACCTTGGTTTCAAGATTCAACCTTTACCTACATCTTGAGGATAGTGTCCTACAGTAGGTAAGTCTTGGTCATAGCCAAGGGCCAATCTACAGCACTGAGAGTAGAGAATCCAGTGAATGTCCCATGTTTCAAACACAACCATGGCTTAAGTTAGTCAAATTAACTAGGCTTAAATGATTCCAAGTCCTGGAACCATACTGAGCAATAAGCGTCCTTCTTTCTTTCTAATATATTGAACAGACCCAATATCCCTTTTATAGCAATTAACTAATTTATCAAATAACATGAATGCATACACACACCCCACACAAATTTGTCATAAGGAAGCAATTTCCAATATAGAAACCAAATGACTAGTGGTCATCCCTCTAAAGAACCACAGCAATCGACAACTTTGTTTCTAAATTAAACCATAAAAAGAGTCCCCTGCTACTGCCTAAAAAGTAAAAATCGAGTTCCCACAAACCTGTAGAAAGCTTTTCCTTTCAACATAATATGAAACATCCTAGTGGAAAGGTGTTTGGACTGCATGAGCTTTTCATTTTCTATTAACTTTTACTAATCCATTGACTTGCAATCTCTTAACACAAAAATATTTGTTTATTTTACAATGGAATACTACTGAGCCATAGGAAACGATGAAATCCAGCCATTTGTGACAACATGGATGGACATTGAGGGTATTATGCAAAGTGAAATAAGTCAGAGGGAGAAGGTCAAATACTGTATGATTTCCTTCATTAAGTAGTAGATAATAACAACAATAAACAAACACATAGAGACAGAGATTGGATTGGTGGTTACCAGAGGGGAAGGGGGGAGGGAGGAGGGCGAAAGGGATAATTTGGCACATGTGTGTGGTGATGGGTTGTAATTAGTATTTGGGTGGTGAACATGATGTAATCTATGCAGCAATAGAAGTATAACGATGTACACCTGAAATTTATACAATGTTATAAACCAATGTTACTGCAATAAACAAATAAAAAACAAAAAAAAATTTGTATTCTTTTCCTGTGTCTTAAAAAAGCAACTCACTGTATGAATGTACTTTAGTCAACTTAGTAATAGCACCAACATTGATACATTGTATAATTTATTTTCTCTGCAAGCCTCACTGTCTCTACAAAACCTAAAGATAAAAGAAAAAGAAGCATTCGTTATGGACCACCTCTATGCCAAGCAGGATGTAAGACATCGTATTTACTTTATCTAAATGAATCTTCACAATAACCCCGTGAAGTACTACCCTTCCTCCCTACCTCCTTTTTTTCTTTCTTTTTTTTTTTGAGGAAGATTAGCCCTGCACTAACATCTGTTGCCAATCTTCCTCTTTTTCTTTTTTCTCCCCAAAGCCCCAGTACATAGTTGTATATATAGTTGTAGAGTTGTAGCTCTTCTATGTGGGATGCTGCCTCAGCATGGTTTGATGAGAGGTGAGTAGGTCCATGCTCAGGATCCAAACTGGCAAACCCTGGGCCTCCGAAGCAGAACACGCGAAGTTAACGGTTATGCCACCGCGCCAGCCCCTTTTTCTTCTTATAGATGAAGAAACTGAGGCTCACAGAAGTGAAATAACTTACTCAAGGTCACACAGCTAGGAAGCGGCAGTTGCAACTTTAACCCAAGTCTGACTCTAAACTCCATGTTCCTACAAGCTTGGTACACGGTCTCCCAGTTTGGAGTAGAGTAAGACAGTAATGATGAATAAACGTCTTTCTGTTCTTCTGTATGCCTCACTAATTGGTTAGCCCCATTAATCTATTTTTTCTTTCCTTCAACTGAATAAGCATCTCTCGCAGAGATGGGTTATCTAAGCATTCTCTTGCAAAAGATTAAGGAATTTGATGCTCAAAGCAAGAATAGGTTGAGTTCTACCTTTACAAGGAAAAGAGAAAAATTCACCATATTGATCATCCAGTAATATCTAGTTCAACATAACCCATACAATTAACAGATCAAACATAATCTTGCAGAATACACAAAGCCCAGCAGACAACTCAAATATTTAGTGAAAGGAATGAATACAACCTCATTTTCTTTATTAAAATGTAATAGAGTTATATTACATTTTCACAAACATACAAACATTAAAAAGGTGGATAATAAGAAGCAGTTACTTCCTCAAATTCAAAATGCGCACAAATAAAACCTATGTGCCATATTTCCTTCCTTTAAAATGTATTCTCCTTCCAAATGCCCCTATTTGAATGAATATCACCAATGTCTTTCTATAATCCAAGGTCAAAAACACAGTCATCTCTGACTCTCTATTCAGCTCCTAATTTCAGATTCATTCAGTTTCCAAGTCATTTGTAATTCAGACTCTTTAATCTCTCTACTCAGTCCTGCTCAGTTCTGAGGGGCATTTCTCCTGCTGGATTAGCATCCTACTTACCTTTCCTACAGATATACAAATATCACTCTGGAGCCTCCAATCTACACTCATAACAAGGCATTTGGCACACTGGGGCAGGACTCATAATTCCAAAGAGATGTTGATTTTACAACTCCCAGCATATTAGTTTTTCATGATTAAATGGCCTGTGATTCAACATTCTAAAATCTGGCCCCATCTAACCTCTCTTCTCAAAATCTTACCTCCATTTACTCCTAATAATTCACCCTCTGCCCAAGCTATCTGGTTCTGGTTGCTGTTCACTTTCTCCAGCTCTTTGCCTTTGCAGAACACATCTCACCACCTAGAATGTTGTTCTTCCTTTCTGCTTTCCACATAAGCAATTCCACTCATCCTTTAAAACTGAGTTCAAAGACCACTCCTCCACAGCCCATCCCTGATGGCTGAAACTGGAAGTAATCGCCTCCTCCTCCAAGATTATTTAACACTCTACCTGCACTTCCCTTTTGGAATTAACACTTAGACTCTCTTACAGTTATCTGTGTACATCTTATGTCTCCTACCACTGTAAATGTCTAATATATACATACGTTTGCATCTCCCACAGCATCTAGACCAGATCTGGTACGTACTATGGGCTCAAAAAACATTCAATTAATAAATCTTACACTAAGGCCTTTACACCAAAGGAGAATACATCTCCACCTGCATTGCTTAGGAAATCTTTGGGTTTAAAGAAAACTAAATTGCATAATACGTTCCAAGTGTTCAATACCAAGTATGACAAAACCTAACTTCCTTGAATTTTAGAATTAGAGAATCAGAGGATATAGGGAAAAAATGATATTCATTAATCAGTCAAGGCAGTTTAGGCAGAAAACATTTGTCTAGTGTCGACCACTGGTCAACACTATACAGAACACAAACACAGAGGCAGCACCCACAGCATTTACCCAGACGCCTTACTTTGCGGTAGACTATCATATTGGGAGAACTCTCCTCTGCATCAGCAATCCCCACTGCTCTTCGGTCCCCAGATCCCTGAGCCATCCTGGATGTCTTCACTCACACTGCAAAAACAAATGAATAGACCATTAAGACATGAATTACATAAAGAAAGCTTTACAATGCAAAGAACTAAGTATCTTTTGGCAGGTGGCACAAAAACAAAACGATGTAATTTCTTTTTTTTCTCATTAATTTAAGCAGTATTAAAAAAAAAAGTTAGAGGATGATTGTGATCTTATCCACACACATTCTTCTAATCCCAAAGCAACATGGTCGTTATTTTCAGCCCAGAATCATGCACCTTAGGGGTGATCATATGCCAGTCTTAAATAATTCCCTGAAGACAGATAAAGCCAATCCTTGTGATGTTGATTTTGTCTTACCAAAGCTCATTTGCTAATTAATTCTATGCATTAAAATATGAATATTTTATTATGGAAATGCAAATCAACACCACAAGGAGATACCACTCAATACTCACTAGGATGGTTACAACAAAGAAAAAACTTAAACAACAAGCATTGGCAAGAATGTGAGGAAACTGGAACCCTTGTACATTGTTGGTAGGAATGTAAAATGGTTCAGTGACTACGGAAACAGTTTGGTGGTTCTTCAAAAAGTTAAACATAGAATTACCATATGACCTGGCAATTCCACTCCTAAGTATATACGCAAAAGAACTGAAAACAGGTATTCAAACAAATACGTGAGCAAGAATGTTCATAGCAGCACTATTCACAACAGCGAAATAACTCAACGTCCATCAACTGATGAATGAACAAACAAAATATGGTCTATTCCTACAATGAAATATAATTCAGCCATAAAAGGTAATAAAGTACTGATACATGCTACAACACAGATTAACCTTGAAAACATTACGGTAAGTGAAAGAGCCAGACACAAAGGTTACTGCAATGGACTGAATGTTTATGTTCCCTCGAAATTCATATGTTGAAATCCTAACCCTGATCTGATGGTATTAAGAGGGAGAGCCCTCATGACTGTGATTAGTGCCCTTATAAAAGAGATCCCAGAGAGCTCCCTCAGACCATGTGAGAACCCAGTGTGAGGATGGCCATTATGAACCAAGAAACAGGCCCTCACCAGACACCAAATCTGCCTAAGCCTTGATCTTGGACTTCCCAGCTTCTAGAACTGTGAGAAATAAATGTCTGTTGTTTATAAGCTATCCAGTGTACAATATTCTGTTATAGCAGCCTGAATGGACTAAGACAGTCACATATTGTATGATTCCATTTATATGAAATATCTAGAATAGGTAAATCTACAGAGACAGAAAGCAGATTGTGGTTACCAGCAGCTGGGGCTTGGAGGGAATGGGGTGACTGCTTAATGGATATGGGGTCTCCTTTGGGCACGATGAAAACATTTCTGAACTAGATAGAAATGAAGGCTGCAGAACATTGTGAATATACTAAATGCCACCGAAATGTATGCTTTAAAATGGTTAATTTTATGCCATGTGAATTTTAACTCAATTAAGAAAAGTGAATATTTTTAATTTGACCTTGTTAAAAGCCTGAAAAGATAACAGTGAGACAATGACAGCATATGGAATTTTTTAGTAAAGAAACAAGTTCAAATCTTGGTATGACACTATATTTGCTATGTGACCCTGAGCAAGTTAAATAAACTATCGGGTTCCCTTTGTTAATTTCAAGAAAACATGTTGAACGTCTGCCATGTGCCCAGAACCATGCCAGGCAGCTTCCCCTACACTGCTCTCGTTAGTAAAATGTGAATTCCACTGAGCATGCACAAGTAAGGGTCAAATAAACTGGGTGTAAAGTAGCGTATAAAGCCATAAAAGTCCTATACAAATGTTACCACTAATCTAAGAGCCCGCCTGGATTATTTGCACAAAATTCATAGGCTTTTCATCAAAGAAACTTTTATAAATACCATATTCGACATCAAAGGCCATTTCAATTTAAAATAAAAACTCAGGAAACATTTTATTATAAAGTAAGTTGGTACCAAAGGTCATTCCACAAAAACAAATGTGGGTGAAAGATGGGGAAGAGACAGGAACTTGCAATTTATTCTAAGACTTTAATTGCCCAAAGTATCCCGTTTGCATAATGTTGCTTTCTTTCTTCATCATTTATGAATTAGGATGCTTTTTAAAAGTTAGATTACATGAAGAGATAAAGAACATCATTCTATTATCTCTACCCACTGTAATATCAGTATTTCTACGAATGCAGTACCACATGGAAACACTGATTATTATTCTAATCAGTGGCCTTTAAAGTTAAATGAACACACTGCTTCATTTTTAAACAACTACTTATTTGCCTACTCCTTGGTCTTAATATACAATACGACAGCGTGAAAAACAAAAGTTGAGTCCATTTATGTTTGCTCACTTATCTATGTAACAGAACCATTTGGGGGTTCTATTGCTTTATTTTTAAACGAACACTTCCACTTTAATGAGCATATTATCCTCCACCTAGAAAACTGTAGTATAACAGCAAAGTTGGAAATGACCTAAAAACGATCGTGTCAGCCCTCCCTTTGCCTTTTCCTGGGCACCCCCACCCCCACCCCAAACAGAAATATTTCTGTGTTTCAAAACAGGCTGATGTTCCAGGATCTGGACTTTCGACTGCTAAGGGAATGCAGATAGTCTCTATGTTAGGAATTTTAGTGAATCTAGTGGGTAGTAGAAAAGCTTCTATTTTTTGTTCCTCTATCAACTCATTTTGAAATTTAGACAAGTCGTTTACCTTTTCTGTGTCTAGAAAGAATCACTTCTAAAATAGTGATATAACCCCTTTCTAGTCCATATGTCAACAGATGTTAGAACTGGATGCAAAACCTACATAGGTAAGGATGCTCTAATTAAATTCATCAACTATAAAACTGGGATCCAAGAAATTAAAGGACTAGATTTTCATTCATTATAACATAATATAAAATACTTAGTTTTAAATTATGTACCATAGAAATGAAATAGGAGTATATTAAATGTAGTGGTAGAGAAAAACAAAACCTTCTTCACATTATTTATATATACTACATGTATATATATAGTAAATAATTCAAGTATGTTTATTTTAATATTTGAAGAATGCAAACGTTTTTCTGAAAACACACAACTACACTTCAATAGTAAGAAAATATGTTAGTAACAGTATTTTCCTATAATGGCTTACAACTAACAAAAGAGGAAAACTGAAATGTGTTAAAACTACGCATTTCACAATCTCCAAGAAGAAAGAAGATAGCTGAATGGTTACAAGCTGGCCTCCGTCAACAGACAAATCTACGTCCCAATCTCAGCTCCCACTCACTAGCTGCGTGATCTGGGCCAAGTTACTTCACCTCTCTGTGCCTTTGTTTCCTTATCACAAACCAGTCCTAGTATAGCAGAAAACCCCCTGCACTGGGAGTCCTGGATCCCCCAACTGATCTGCAACTAACTAGCTGTTGGAACCAGATCAAGCCACAGCTTCTCTGGACCCCATTGGACATTAGCTATAAAACCCAACATCTTTAGTTTTCCTTCCAGCTCTGACCTAGAAAGAACCTTAGAACTTCAAATTTCTAACTTTCCTTCAAAGACTCGCCAGAATGTTCCATGCCACCTCTCTTCTGTCATCACTGCCTACATCCTATCCCGTCTCCTCTATTCATGACAGTGCTCATGCTGAACTTCTCCACAAATCACAGAACTAGTGGGGTAGAGGATCCCTTCCCAGACTCAGCATCCCTCTCCAATGAAGCAATTCCTGCAATACCACCACCCACCACTAGGTGCTGTGGGACTTGACATTTATTCTTGGAACAAACACACAGAGCGTCCCCTCACAATGCTCCATGCTAGGCCCTGGAGATAAAATCAGACACAGATGCTCTCCTCAAAGTGTTCAGAGTCAAGGAGGGGTGTCAGACCTGTCCACAAAATCAGAACATTGTAATGTGTGGGTACTCAGTTATGACGGCACAGAGCAGGAGCAGGTGGCAACTGAGATCAGAGCAGAGGGACAACTTGGAGTCTGGGGGAGGCAGAAGAGGCCATTCCAGCCTAGGTGACAACCCAGGCATGGACATCTGAAGCCCCAGAAGTGGTTCAGCACTGTGCTAGACACCTAGGAGAGAAAAAACCATGAAGATGATCTGATCTCAAGGAGATTAAGTGGCGATAAGGAGATAATGTGGAGTACGTACGAAATAACTGGGATTTGCACCTATCTGAATTCAATGACTTTGTTTACTTGTTTTTCAGGGATCTCCTCTACTAGAAGCCAGTTGACAGAACTGATGAGATTCTCTAAGAGGCAGTGTACTCCTTCTAGAACATTCATCTGGATAATAAGCCATTAAAACTGCCCAACAAAAAAGGCTCTTTATCACCAAAGACCCATGTATGGAATCACAAATGAAGATCTTCCCCAGGGCTTATTATGAGCAGCCCTGAACTCAGGAATCCATGAGCAATTTAGGTAAGAAGGAATATGTGGGAGGGTGGAAAGTATAGAGAGGAGAGACCCTGTGAATAACAGAGCAACTGAGCATCTATGACTCAAACTCTGATTAGTAAATCTTTGCAAGTCAGGACTGCAATTTACTCCAAACACATTGCATTTGTAGCTTGCAGTTACAACAAATGCCAGCTGTTTTCCTTTGTAATGCTAGCCTTTCTGGAGCACGCAAAGCCTAGGGTCCAGCAGATAATAATGCTGAGCAGAGCAGGTAGGAAGGACCTCAATGCCGTGGAAAAGGAAAGGGCTTTGAAGCCAGAATGGGAATCGCATCTCAGCTCTGGCCACACCAAGGCTGCTGTGTGGCCTTTGGCAATTGACTCCCCAACCCCAAACTTCCATCTCTTCACTCGGAAGATGAGAAACCTCTGCTTTGCAGGGCTACTTAGAAGAGGGAATAAAATAAGTCATGCAAATTCCCTAGCACAGATGAATGTAGCAACTGACCAGGAGTCTTGTTCTCACCAGGAGTCCTCCAAGTGAAACTCCCAGGACACCAGGCATCAGAATCACTGCAGAAACCCTTCCCCGCCTCAGGTATTCTGACT